GAGAAAGTAAAGAAATTTAATATGTTTATGTGCATCTGAGCAAGTAAATTAATATTCATACTTGGGACACCAGATCCAAAAGATCTACCTATACAGTGATTCCATATACACGAAATGTCTGGAAACAGGAAACCGAGAGAGACAAAAGGCAGATCTGTGTTTGCCTGGGGCTGGGAGTGGCTTTGACTGCAAACAAGTGCAGGGGAATTTGGGGGGGCTGAAGAAAATATTCTAAAACTAGATTGTAATGATGACTGCACAACTCTGTTGGTATAATTAAAATCATTGAATTATACGCTTACAAAAACTCCAAAAAGAACACTAGCGCCCGGAGTAAATGATTGTATTGTCCCGTAAGTGATATATATGCCCCTTTGCCTGCTGGGCCAGCGTCTCCTCAGTAGCTGGACCGGGTCTGGGCTTCCATCGAGCTTTAGTTAGATTTAGTTCACCGTTGACTCCAAATATTCTGAAGATGGGTTCCTCAAAAAGTTCAACAGAATTACTGCATGACCCAGCCAAATTCCCCTCCTAGGTTTATACCTGCAAGTACTGGAAACAGGGACTCAGACAAGTGCATGTATGAGCGCTAATAAGCCGCTTTCCTCTTACTGACACCTGACATCTACCTGTATGAGGAGTGAGGTGTGTGATGGAAGCATCCCCCAGAAGGAGGCCCTGGGATTAGGGTTCAGCTTGCCGCCAATTTGCTGCAGCCTCAGCAAAGTGTCTTGAGTCACAGGAACAATGGTGCTGCTTTATGAAAAGCCAGAGCTTGCATGTGTTTGTGTGTGTAGGAGGGGGCGTCTTCCTTCCTCTCCTTTGTCCCCTGTCTCTAAATCATGAAACAGTAAACTCATTGGGGAGGAGTTGGCTGTTTACCCTTTAGGTGATTGTCGGTCCTCTGTGAATATTAAATAAGAATACCATAGTAGTAATACTACTTAATGACTTCCTACTCTTTTCCCATTATGTATACACAGAAGCTGGCTTACTGCCTGTCACCAAGTCAAAGCAGAGCATGGATTAAACATTAAATCCTTGTTTCCTTGTTTTGCCATAATACTGTTAAGAGTTTTTGGAGCAAAATTTTCTGCTAAAGTATTAATTAGCTAGAGCCAGTGATTTGTAAAAATTATCACTATAAGACACCACGATTCTTTGTCATGGTCTAAAAAGCATCGTCATTATCTCCTCTGTATGCTTGAGGATTGAGAAATGGCCCGGGTGTCTCGTTTTCTATATAGCTTCTCGCTTCTGATTAAATAATTCATCTGTCAGTGTTGACACACATGTGATTTGTCTTTTTTCGATCTCACTTATTTTTTTCCAAAATGAGATGTCTCACTTCTCAGAAGTCCCAGTGGAGTGGGGGACACAGGCTTGGGTGTCAGGCTACCTGGGCTCAGCCTGAGAACTCAGGAAGGGGCCTTGCCTCTTATCAGCCAGGACAGGTGATCTCTTAGCTTCTCTCCAGCTCTGAAAAAATGGGAATTCCTTTGGTTCATTATATTTGGTGTCCTATTTCAGTAGATGGCAAATTAACTTAGTTTCAGTTCAAGCTTCTTTGTTTTTGTATTAATCAGGGTTCTTCTGAACAGAACCAATAGAATGTAATATATATACACACACACACACACACACACATATATGTATATATATGAGAGAGGGAGGGAGAGAGAGGGAGAGAGAGAGAGAGAGAAAGAGAGAGGAAGGAGGAGACGGACAGAGAAGAGAGATTTATTATAAGGAATTGGCTCATGTGATCATGAAGGCTGATAGGTTCCAAGATCTGCAGTCGGCAAGGGGATACTTAAGAGAAGTGATGATGTAGTCCCTTCAGGTCTAAAAGCTGGCAGGTTTGAGACCCAGAAAGTGGATACTTCAGTCTGAGCCCGAAGGCAGGGAAAAAAACCAATATCCCAGCTCAAGGCAGTCAGATAGGAAGAATTCTCTCTTATTTGGGAGTGGGTCAGCTTCCAGTTTTATTTAGGCCTTAAGCTGATTGGACGAGGCCCACCCACATTAGGGAGGGCAATTTACTTTTTTCAGTCTTATCAATTTAAATGTGAAACTCATCCAAAACACCCTCGCAGAAACAGCCAATAATGTTTGACCAACTATCTGGGCACCATGTGGCCCAGTCAGGTTGACACATAAAATTAACCGCTGTACTTCTATAGAGGCTAACTTCACGCTTGGCTAGTTGAATTATCACAGGTGTTTTTGCAATTTGAAAAGTCACAAGTCCCCTGTTTTCATGAGAAAATGTATTCATACAGACTCACCAGACTACACTAAC